CACATATCCTCATTCTTCCTTTCCCCCTACCTGGTCAAGGAATGCAATCTCCAAGTTTACATTCCTGGACTGAACAGAAATAAGAGATGTGAAGCATATACAAATTTCCCATTTCTTTTAATGGCCATGTGAACTCATTCTTTGTGTGTCCACATACATGTACTGAGGGGAAGGAGGAGGGAAAATAGGGTTCTAATGTGTCTTGTGGGGTTATCTTATGTTTACACTGGGGGTGGGGAGAGTTGAAATTGTTTTTACAATCTTTATTAATCTTCAAAACACCCAAGTAAGTAGGTAGATGACTTGTCCAAGGTCACCTGGTAAGTCCAAGTCTAATATTTTCTCCATTGGCTTTTAATGTAAGCTTGCCAGTGGAATATAAATGATATCAGTACTACTTTTAGAGTAAAAGATGACTTCTTTATTTGAAACGGCGGTAAAAACCACTGTAATGGGTGTAATATCAAAAAAGAATTTTGTTAAATGGTGTCTATTACATAAACATATGGCACTTTATGTGGAACTATGACCTGTGAAAAGGGAGTGAGAGAAGACAATCAAAACAAGAAAGTGAAATGTGTAGAAAAACTTCCACAGGGTTTAGAAACAGCAGGATGGAATTGGATATTGCTGGGGGTGAGGTGCGGTGGAGGGAGTGACAAGTGGTCAGCAGAAAACTAAGCCATAGAAATTGGGTAAAGTGGGTTTGATTAGGCAGTAGGGGCAACAAGAGGTAGGCCAGGAGTATAGTTGCCAACATACCTGGAAAAAAGTATCTGGCCCCTTTATAATAGATACTTTATGTGCGAAAACGGGCAGCTGAAGTTTTTCATGCCATGGAGGTAACTAGTATCAACAGGTAGATACCATCCCATTAAGCCTATATTAAAGTGACAGGACACTTTTTCTCCAAGCAGTTGGCAACACTAACCAAGAGACAACAAGACTTGGGAGACAAAGAGTTCAGAAAGAAGGAGCTAAAGAATAAACTTCCTGTGACAAACTGCTCACAGGACTGGGTTTGCCACTTTTTTCTGGCAAGGTTTCGGTGTCTCTTAAAGTTGCATGACAATGGCCCTATTCATACGAGCCCATTTGGGCTGGGAGCGGGACGGAAAGGGGGCGGAGCAAACCGGCGCGATCCCACCTCAACATTTGGGGAGCGTGCCGGATCCGTCCCGGATCCGTCCCTTCCAGGGTTGCTCCGCACCAAAAAAGAACCACCTCCCGAGGTGGTTCTATCAAGATATAGAATGGGAGGCCTGTGTTCCCGTGTATTTGGTTATCTTGAAGACTTGTATATAAAATAGAAAATTACTTCATATTAGTGATAACTTTTTTGAAAACAATTGTTAAAGAGGCAGTTGCTTCTGCCCTACTCTGGTTATCTGCCTACCCATTACCATATGTGGATTGGGCAGTTGTTGAGTAAGCAGCAACGTTGGCCGTGGGATCGCTGGCGCGTCCTTGCGCCGGCGCATCCCTGGCTCCTGGCCGAACTGCGCATGTGTGAGCATGCGCAGTTCGCCAGGCTCCCCTTCCCACCGTCGCATTCTCCCCGGCATCTGATCGTGCCGGGGAGCGTTGCGACGCGGCTCGGGGGATCTGTGAGATCCCGCCGCGCCGTCCCAACTTTGCTGCGGCTCACATTAGCCACAGTACAAGCTGTCTTATTCCCTGCCGTGTGGCAGGGACCAATCAAGAACAAACAAGCAGGTGAAGTGTAATGGGAAAAGCGTTTTTTGCTTATTTTCTTTATATCAGGCTACAGGGCACAAAAGAAGAGTTAGTAACTCTCTTTTATAAGATACACTATTGAACCAGATCGATTTGAGTCCAATAGCACCTTCGAGACTAACAATATTTTTGGGGTATGAACTTCTGGCTGCGGTTACACGAGCGGCCTGCGCTGATATCATTGTGGTACCTTTGCAGATTTAAAGAGCACAATCAGACATCAACATTTGCCTTCTGTGCCCCAGTTGTCACCTCCCTGTTCTGCCCCGCATTGGAAGTGGAGTCATCAGGCACCGGAGAAAGTCTGGTGTTTACGGATATCAGTGCTTTCACCCCCCCCCCCATTTCCGGATGTCTGAACTCCCCTGGGCAAACTCAGCTCGGTTGGGAAGTCTGATCGTTTTGTTCCGTTTTTGGCTCCTTTGGGGTTTTTTTGTCAGTCAGTGATGTATGCATAACCACATCTTCATACACACCAGCAAGCTTTCAGCTGTCCTCTGAGATGGGGGGGGGGCAGGCTGAGAAGCCTCCTTTGTCTGTTTTCATGCTGGTTCCTCTGCCTACAGCTTTGCAGCACACAGGGTGGGGAAGGGGTTAATTGAAAAGATGAGTTTTTTTCAAAGAGGGAGGCAGCCTCCTCCAGCTGTCAAAACAGAGCAGTGCTTTGAATAAGCAGTTATGCACATATGCAAAAGACATTAAAAAAAAGAAGCCAACCGACCACCCACTCCATGGTTGCCCCACAGCAATAATCTGAATGGTCAACCACGGGGCGAGCGTGCAGTGAGGCTGCTTCAGGGTGTGTTGTCTAGTTAACCCTTCCATTGATGATTTAAGCTGCTGCAAATAGAGGTGCTGGCAGATTGCACCAAGCCTCCAGTGTGGCTGCAGCCTTTGAAAGTCAAAGCTCCCTTAGTCAGATACGAGTTGTAATGGAGATCTCTGAGCCCTCTGAGTCAGAAAGTGGGAGGGTGTTGCAATGAAGGAACTCAGGATACAGAGGTACAATGTGCATAGTAATACTATGCATGTTTTACATCTGCACATCTTGAGTTCCTTCTTTGCAACACCCTCCTACCTTCTGACTGCAATATAAAGACTCAGAGATCCCCATTCCAACTTGTATCTGATGTACAGGGTATTATCTAGGTCTAAACTTGGAAAGCCCTAGGAGGGAGAAAGGCCCAAGAATCAATAAGAAGATGATTAGAACCAACCAGGAAAATCTGCTGTTGTGGGAAGAATTTAAGGCAAACCGTGGCCCTGACCAAGTTTGGATCTCTGCAGTGAGGCTGTGTATGTGAGGCCTAAGCGACCCATTTGGTCTGCAGTGGAACCAGATGGGCTTTGCCTTTCTCTGTATGTCAGTGGCAGAAGCTCTGCCCTTTAATACATCTCAATTGGTGACCAATATAGGCATCAAGAGGAGGGGCTCTGACAGAGGCCTCACCTCCATCCGTCAGGACTGCATCCATAGAAGGGATGCTGTAAATTACTGTGGTAATGTGTACATCGGGGATCCCCATTTTTTTGAGCCTGTGGGCACCTTTGCAATTCTGATATAGTGTGATAAGGCAAAGCCACAAAATGGCCACAGCAGGAGGTGGAGCCAGCCATAAAATGGCTGCCACAACTTTCCTTCAGTCACACAGCCTCGTGCTGTGGAGGCAGTTACTGCCAAAGCAGTGGTTTTGGTTTTTGTTTTAAAAATCTGCATAGCCAATCAAATCTCCAGTGGTCAATCAGAAGCCTTGCTGGGCAGAAGCCCCACCTGGCCCCACCCACTTTATAAAATCACTTGGCCGGCACCAGGAAAGATGTCAGTGGATACCATGATGTTCATGGACACCCTGTTGGAGACACCCACTGGTCTACATAATATAATGGTAGTTCAGATAGCTATTTGTTGGGTGTCATTGTTCAAATGCTCTTTCATTTTATATGCCTACCAGACTACCATTTGACCAGATCAAACACACATTCTGTCTAATTTCTTGTTGTCTCTTTCATCCTGGGCTGTGCCAGGGGTGACCTAGAGGAGGGGTCTCAAACAGGTGGCTTGTTGGCTGCTGCAGATTTGACCAGTGATCCCCAACATGACATCTGTGGACACCATGGTACCCATCACTGTTGTTTCCTAATGCCTGCTTGCTTCCTCTCCAAACCTCTTTCCTGAAACAAAGAACCAGTCTTGGCTTTCCTTCACTTCACTGGACTGGATGTCTGAACTGAGTTCATCACTCAGACCTTTGTCTCAATAAATGAAGGTGTCACCCCCTTTGTTCTGCTCTGGTGTATCTGTGGCTGGGGAATGTGCAAGTGCAGTGCTGGTGATTCAAGTGTCTGCATTTGTATATCTCACAAAACCAGTTAATACATCAACTCTGGTACTTGGGTTTAGAGTCTGGTTTGATGGATCCCTGCTAACCAGTGTTAGCAGAGTTGTCTGGATGGTTTTGTTTTGCGTTAGAACTGAGCTTAGATTTAGTGAATCATGTTATATTTTCAATAATAACAGTTGTTTAAAGCATTAGAATAACAGGGCTAGTGCAGCATGGTTGTAAAAACCATGAGTTATGAAAAGGTATACATTACTAAAATTTGTCTTAGCCATGAATCTCCTGGATGTCCTGGGAGGAATCACTATCTCTTAGTCACACATCTGTTATGTACAAAATAATACTGGCCTGTTTGACAGGTTCTAATGTATGTAAATTTGTATGAGAACAAAAGACTAACAGAGCAGTCTTACAAGTGGTTTCCTGGCAGTATTTGGAGTAGGATTCTAAGTATACCTGCTTAAGATAGCTCTTTAATATAAGTACAAAATAATATAAGTACAAAACATTGTTAAGATTTATGACTAGCTAAATTACTTATAGTCTGATCCAAGTAGAATGTTTATTTGGAAGTTTCAGTGGGTTGAAATATATTTGGAATTAAAGTTTTCAGTCTGAAGTGGTTGTAAAAACCCATATTATATAATGTGTTGGATCCAGCCAGCCTTTTCACTGAGTCTTGCCTGATTCCCCTCCCTACTACAGCCTCAGTCCCACATGAGCCCCACCATAGTCTTTTTTGGTGACCAAAGAGGACCCCTCCTTCCTTTTTCACCAGCAGAAAAGCTGTTAGTATCCAACCCAGTAAAACATTCCATAGAATTATTTGTTATGAAAAAATAGTCTCTCTCTTAATTTTGTTGTTCTGGAAAGAATTATGAAATCAATTTGTGTTACAATATGAGTGCTTTGCTTTTTCCTTAGTTGTCATGGATGATGATGATGATGAGTCCTGTCTCTTTGATCTTATTGGGTAAGTTTGTTATTAGACATTATTGCAGAGGAGTAACGGAAAATTGCAGAAATAATGTTTGTCAAATAAACAGTTGACTTGTTTAAAAACTATAGCTTTGAAAACTTACTTTGGTGTAAGTCTTGTTATGCTCAGCAGAACTTATTTTTGAGTAAACATGCTTAAGATCACACTGCTTTTTTACTATCTATGTTGTGTTGCATCTCTAGTGTAAAAGATTACTTTTCCAATGATTTGTGGATTTATTAATATTTTTAAACATCCTTTTCACTCTATCACACAAAATATTTACAAGATTGTAGTAAATAATAATAAATATTGTCTTAAAAGAAATACAAAAATAGCAGGTCAAAATTAAGTAGCCCCCCTGATGAATATGAACATTTTTACATGACAGAGGAAGGCAGTCATAGTGGTAGTTGGCAGGCTTCCCTGGAGAGGCATTCCATAAAATAGGGTCAACTATTGAAACGTTGCCACTATACAACACAGCAAAGTCATGTAGGGTTTTGTTTACTAGTATCGTGGTTGACTGCTGATACACTTTACATTTATAAAGCACTGTGCTTAAGGTGTAATTAAGGGGGTTGATGTCCCTGGAGATCCCTTCCAATGTTATGATTCTAAATTATGGCCTCGGTCACATGGGAGGATTTGCCTCGCAAAATGGATGGGTTGAGGGCGCATCAAACGGGCACGATCATACCACAACATCTGGGAAGCATCACGCACCCGTCCCCGATCTGTCCCTTCGGCCCGAAAACGCGCATTGAAAAGGTACCGACAACAGAGCACTACCTTCCGGATGACGCGTGGCAACTTCAGGCATCTGATCAGGGAAGCGCTGGTAGCCCGTCGCAGCCAGCGCCGTTCCCCGTCCGTTTTGCTGCGCTATGTCTGATTGCCTGTCGAAGGCCGGAGCATGGAGCCATGGGGGCACGTCGGATCGTGCTACCACGGTTCTTTTTACTCCGGCTCTAATTTGCCTCCCTTCAGCGGCGCAGTATCCCACTCGTGTGACCGGGACCTATGTTAAGCAAACCTTGGTATGCATTCTTTCTTAAAAACAAAAGGAGTGGTTTGTAATGGCCTGACCACATCATCTATAGCATTGCTTTGCGAAAATTTCAGCGACTAGCAAAGCTAACCAGAAAATTGCCAGTAACCCCTTGGTGGACCATGGTCTACTTTCTCACCATCCTTGCCCTAGCAGATCTCTCTTTGAAATTAGAAGAGTGGCAAATAGTAGATTTGTTTGCCTACCATGGTTATTTCATTTATAACCTGCCCTTCTTCCCAATAGGGACTTGAAACAGCTTACATTGTTAAGAACATAAGAACATAAGAGAAGCCAATGTTGGATCAGGCCAATGGCCCATCTAGTCCAATACTCTGTCACACAGTGGCCAAAAATACCAGGTGCCATCAGGAGGTCCAGCAGTGGGGCCAGGACACTAGAAGCCCTCCCACTGTTGCCCCCTCCCCCAGCACCAAGGGACAATGGGCGGCACCATTAGGGGACTGGTGTTATGTCATTTCCAGGGAAAATCTCTCTAGGAAGCACTGGAAACTCTGTGGTGAAACCATAATATTTGTAGCAATTCCTAGAGAGACATGATGTGATATAACATTGAGTCATGATGTGACGTAACACTGTTGTGCCAGTGGTGATTTTTTTTTCTTTGTTTGTCTTCCACTAGCTAACTGGGAGGTGACAGGCAGTGGAGGTTGTTAGCTGACAACCCTATTCTCCTCTTCTCCGTTTTATCTTCACAACAGTCCTGTGAGGTTAGTTAGGCTGAGAGTGTGTGACTGGCCCAAGGTCACCCAGAATGCTTCCATAGCAGAGTTGGGATTTGAACTTGGATCTCTCAGATCCTACTCTAACAATCTGGCCACTACACCAAACTGGCTTGCTTTGTGGAGTTTTCCCTGCCAAAAGCCATATGTGCTTTCATGGTAGCAGTCAAGCAGGAGGCCATAGTTGAGGAGGGGGCCCACAGACAGGATAGCATCTGTAGGCATGACCATGGCATTGATGGCAGCTACAGTCAGACAAGGCCTGCTGTATCCTGAGCCAGGAAGTGCTGGCCAAGGTAATAGAACCAGAGAGGGTGCTTCCCTGAGACATGGATGTCTCAGGAAGATTTTGGGAGGACTCCTTATGGTGACATGAAGATAAGGACATGCTAAGAGTGAGGGGAAAAGGACATTAGAGATGCAGCAAAATGACTTTCTTCCTCTTCTGGTGGTGTAACAAGCCACAGGGTAAGAATGGATGGAGGTGGGGTGTAGTGAACACACACTGGCTAGAAGAGGAGCATGCACCATTATACAGATTGATATTTGCAACAGACGGAACAAGATATGATGGACTAAATCATTTGAATGTCTGGTGTGCGATCTACTGAATGATACATAAAAATAAGCCTGAGAAAAGGTGGTGGTTGGTATAGTGTCTGACAGCATCTATCAAAGAATTATTGATGGCTCTATAAATTAGGAAAAGCAGTGACATTGAATAATCACTGTTGGGTAGTGGATAGAACCTTGAATTAGCACTAGAGAGACCCAAGTTCACTTCCTCATTCAGACAGGAAGCTCATTGGTTGACTTCGGGTCAGTCACTGTTTCCCAGCCTAACCTACGTTGCAGGATTATTATGAGGACAGCATGGGGGTGGAAGGAGGTACCCTGCTTTAAACTCCTTGGAGAAAGGGTAGGATAAAAATAGGCAAATTGATTGATAGGTCAATGCTACTCTGTGCAGCAGTTCCTAGGAAAAGGAGTACTTGGTGGACCCTCACCCACATGAAAGGCTGTGGAGTTCTCAAACTAGTTTCCTTCCCTTGTGTCTCAGCTTTTCAGTGATATTCCTCCTGTCCATGTTGGCAAAGGAGTTCCATATGATTAGGTAGATAAAAACATATACTTGCTGACATGTGGAATAATGTAAATGTTGTTCTTACAATTTATCAAATATGTATGTTTTGAGGAATGTGCACACATTTCAGAAAAAATATACAGCTTCTATGGAGCTGATGAAATGGCAAAACTGAAAAAGAAACAAAGAAGCTGCATTGCAAGCACTAAGTATCCAACATGTCCTTGGTGGAGGAGACTGTGTGATGTTGCATTAACAAGAGCAGCAGGCAGTATGGAGAGTTGCAGTTTTTGGCCTTCTTATCTTTGTAATTGTTTTCTAATCTTTATTGATTTCTATTTTAGCATTAGTATCCATTGCAAAGAAAGTAATATAAATGAAAGTAATATAAAGGATTTATAATATAAATGATTTATATTTTATATTTCTCAGGACTGAAATGCTATTAGGTAACAATAGGAAAACCTACTATGTCAAAGTTAACAGAGGCCCTGGTCACACGGGAGGTTTTGGGCCAGAAGAGGGACAGATCGGGGGCGCAGCAAACGGGCACGAGCACACCGCAACATCTGGGAATTGGCGTGCACCCGTGTCCGATCCGTCCCTTCCGGCCTAAAACCCGCTGCAAAAAACCCCAAACCCCAAGTAAAAGGTAGCACCAACCTGGAACGGCGCCGCAAATGCGGCCGTAAGATCGCTGGCGCGCCCGTCTGCAGGAGCAATCGAGGTTCCCGGCCAAACTGTGCACGCGCACACATGTGCAGTTCGGCTGCCTCGCTCTCCCTGCAGTGGCTCCCCCCCCGGCATCTGATCGTGCCGGGGAGCAACTGCACGGCGGCTCAGGGGATCTATCTGATCCTGCCGCTGCATGTCTCTTTTGGTGCGGCTTTAAAAAGCCACACTTCGGCCGTTCTTTTCCCCCCCGTGTGGCAGGGGCCAGAGACACACATGGTGTATTTGTAGTTGCTCTGTAACCACCAATGAAAATACAACATATCTTTTAAAAACTGTAGGTGATCTCTGTAAAGCTCTGTGAACCTTTTGAACTCCCCCTCCCTCTGATCCTTGAGCAGTATATTGTGAATGTGAAGTGCCCACCAAGAATGGAAGGCATATATGAGTCCATAAAACAATTATCCACCTGTCTTGTTCCTTATGGGCAGCCTGTGCATATGGGCAGACCCACTGAAGCGATGCTTGGTTGCCTGTTGCCTTTTAGCCCCTTGTGGTCACACTAGTCAATAATTTACAGGCATTAAACTGCTGTATACATTTTCATAGATGGTAAATATACTTAGGTTGAAATCAACCTAAAACTACAAATTGTCTGAAGATGAACATTTATTAGTACTTCATGTTATAGGCATGGTTATAGTCTTTACTGAAATGCAATCCTAGACTGTGAATAACTTGTGGACCTTATAAATATGTGCATAGTCTAATGGTAATATTTAAATATTCAGACCACTTTGGCATGACTGAAAACAAAGCAGGAGGGAAAATGTACATTGTGAGGGCCAGGGAAGGTGATAAATAGTAAAAACTGCATCATGAAAAATAGTGATTCTTCCATTGACCATTGGAAACCTGCAGAAAGCTCCTTTTGGTTTCTCATAAGTCTGGGGTGGTGTAATTCAAAATGACTGTTCCAGTTTATGCTAACTGATTAACAATTTTAATTTTAATAAATACAAGGTCTTTGGAATACAAAGTTTATATGATGTTTTTGTGGTTGTTGTTTTTTTAAAGAGATGCCCAGGCACTGAATTATTTTCTACATGGAGCAGGCAGTAAACCTGTAAGTCACATTCTGCTAAATCTAACTATCTAATAGCCATGCCCCCCGCCATCCACCTAATAGGACTTCCCATGGATAGGGTCTAGGTTTCTGCAAACCCAGAGGGAACCCCAAGTGTACAGGAAATCCCATTTTTTAAAAAGGAAAAACAATAGTGTTAAAAAACAACAACCCAGATTGTGCATACGCAGACCTGCTGGGGGAAAAACATTTGGGTGGCTTTTGGGGTTGTTGGAACAACCCAAAATGGTGCCTAATGTAACACGGCCACAATCAGAAGGGGAGAGATGAACTAGGGCTGTAGAGGGGGAAGACACACTGAAGGGGGTTGTGGTGGGAAGAGCCAGTATGGGGGAAGGAAGAAAGAGTAGTGAGGAAGGAATCTGAGCCAGCAGGGCAGGAGGGAGGAACAGCAGAGATGAAGGCAGTGGAGGGGGAAGAGGGGCAAGTTATGGACATGGGAAAAGCAGGAGTCAGCAAACTGGGTCTGGGAAGCAGTTTGAGGAGGAGGCATGTTGGAGGAGGGATGGCGTTTCCACTCCCCTATGACTCCTCATAGATGCCCCTCTTGTAATTTTACTAATTGCGCTAGTGTTAACTTAATCTTGTTTTTCTTGCTTGTGTTCTTACAGAATAGCGAAGACTTGACGAATGCAGGATATTCTGCAGCCAACTCAAATTCCATTTTCGCCAATACCAGTGTAAGTAGGCAGGAGAAACTGTAGTTTTATTTCAGGTGTGTCTAATTGCAATGGTTTGTTTATGCTGTACAAAATGGAGTGGATATGGTATTTGGTTATCGTATATTGTGCAGTTTTAGTCTATACCATATATATTACTGAGTTTTAAGTGCTAACTTCAAGTGGGTTATCTTTCTTAAAAACTTTGGGCACAATCCATCTTACAGGACCAAACTATAAGCAACTGTGGTTTGTATCCATTCTGTGGCCGCTGATGCTATTTTATAAGCAACTGGGGTTCTTTAAAAATCACAGTGAGGCCCCAATCTGTATTGGGTTTGTGGCCATCCCAGGAGTTCTTGTACTCACTCCCCATACCTTTCCAGGTGCAGAAACAGCCCAGTTTCTACACTTGAAATGGCATGGGGGAGGGGAATTGCAAATGTTTTTACAATGGTGTTGGTGACCACGGGATGTCACTTGTAGTTTGGACCACTTGTCTAGAGGACAAGTTGTGGAGATCTCCAGATGCACAAGTTCAAGCCCCAGCGTGGTTCAAAAATACATCATAATCACACCACACCAGGCTGCAGGATAACAATGAGAAGTCCTCTGCAGTCTTTATATACCAGACCAGCAGAATATTCAGTCTTGTGAGTTGTGACTGGCACAGATACTTTGCTTGCCATCAGACTGTGGGGCCTCTGGTTAGTTCAAACATGTACTGGCAAGAGGGCATGGCAAAGGAGTATCCTCAAAGTGTCTGCTAGGTAGCATTTACTTAGCAGATCAGGTTTGGGAAACAGGGAAGAGGAGGTGGTCTAGAGTGGTGTGCTCAGAATTTCTGAATCTGCTTGGTCAAGTGTGGATGGAGCATCCTGTTTTACTTGACTCCTTTCTTCTCTGTCCCTGTTTCCTAGCCCTGTCTTGACAAATATAGGCATCTGGTAGGAGCTTTGGTGACTATTTGTCCTTAGAGTGCTCCATCCTGAGTGAACTATTCTAGGATTAGGGCCAGCATACAGGTTACACTCAGTGTGACCTTAAACAAAAGGGCTGGATTGAGCCCTCTTGCACGATAAAGACCTCCTGTTGAATGGAAGAGTCAGTAACAGCACAATGAACATTTTAGACTACTAAGATGCTGTGTTTGAATTAAGATAGTGTGATATGGCTGACTTTTTTACAGAGAATGTTAGCAGTTCATCATCGTGGCTTCTGTGGGGCTGCATGTGCACTGGCCAGCTGTGGAAAAGATTTCCAAGGCTTTCTAGGAGAGCAGGAGAGCCCTGCTGGTGCTTTCCCACACAAATTATTACATGACCAGGAGGAGGGACACTACTCCCCTCAGTTCTCTTTTTGCTGCCACAAACAGAGGATCCCCATTGCTGTTTTTTCCTCACCTCATTCTTGAGGCTGAGAAGACTTGTTTCTGTCAAATTTTTTGTCATCAATAGTCATTCTAGTGAGGAATAAATTGTATTCAAATAAGAAATGTTTCTGGATTTCCAGTTTGTCGTTATGGCTCAGAAGGGGCCTGCTCAGGACTATGCTGACTGTGGTTTTAAAATGGTGCTGATAAATGCCCATTCTCTGTGCCTCATCTGCCTGGAGGATCACACAACGGAGCTGCTGCTCTATCTGTTACCAGTTTACCCTGATTTAATAGAGCTGGATTGATAAGAGCCCTTTTTCAAAGGCTTTGGCTGCAAGCCAGCCTGAATAAAGGCTCCTTCCCCCTCCCTGACGAGGTGTGGTCTGACAGGGCCTAGGATTCAAGGGCTCTTTTCAAAGTCTTTGGCTGTGCCAGCTTGAATGAAGGCACATTCCCCCTCCTTGGCTGGGTCAGAGTTTCGGATTTAGAATGGTTCTTTTCTAGGGCTTTGGCTACAGTCTGCTTGACTGAAGGAATCCGTTCTGCTCCCTGGCTGCTCTCAGTTCTAGTCAGAAGCCTGGAGGTGTGCCCTGTCCTTTTTTGCTCTTTTCCTGACAAGGGACCCTTCTGTCAAGTAGGAATGCCCTTCTAAGCCAGTTTGGTGTAGTGGTTAGGAGCATGGACTCTAATCTGGGAGAACCGTGTTTGATTCTTCACTCTTCCACATGCAGCTGCTGGTGTGACCTTCGGTCAGTTACAAGATCTTTCAGAGCTTTTCTCTCAGGAGCAGTTCTTGAAAGAGTGTCTGTTGTGGGGAGGGGAAGGGAGATTGTAAACTGCTTTGAGACTCCTTCTAATCCTTTGGCAATGTAATCTGTTTTTATGTTTTTCCCCCCTGGCTGGTTTGCGGCACAGGTTGCACTGCAAGCTGCACAAGATTAATTTATGGCGCTTGCTATCCATCCTTTCTTTGGCTACATCAGACCTGCTTCACTGCTTTCATTATTATAGTACAGATTCGCTTATTCTCACTCCTGCTGACAACTTTAGTGATCACCTCCTTTCCTGCATTGTAGCAATAGTCTCAGATTTTTTGGAGTCTCAAATGCCATTCCGTCACCACCATATCTTGCACTTCTAAGCGAAATACAATCTCTACTAAGGTTGTAACAGGGTTTGGACCCTGCTTCTTGTGCTGTTGATTATGTTTGGGTCCCTGTTGGGATTTAAACTCTCTACACTTTCCTCTTCCTTATTGCATGTCTAAAGATGTTGCAAACAGAGGTATAACCCCTCAGTTATTTTGTACACATCCCTGGTGCTTCATTAATAACTTTTAAATAACTTTTTGTTTTTGTATGCAGCACTTCCAACTGTGGAATGAGGACATTATGGGTTCTAACCTATGCCCCCTCTGTTCATGAAGTTTCCCAAGGTTAGGGAGTTTGACACCCTGGTCAAGATTCCCGATTAGGGAATGTTTCTCTGTCTTCATGTCATACAACACTATCTTTACACTTGTTTCTGATGCCAAAATCTGTGTACTCCTCCTTGAATGTGACTTTTGTTGGGTTTTGGTCTGCTAGGGATTCAACAGTACTTTGTTTTGGTCTTTCAGGCTCCAGGAAGGAGTGGTCAGCATCCTCACACAACCCCTCCTTGTGGGTTGGTAGAGACTATCACACTCTGTCTTGAGTGCATGGCTGTTCAGTGCCACTTTATGTATCATGGCTGTACAACAGAGTACATTTTTTCTTTGCCAAGTTCCCACATGTATTTTAGTTGGAACATTTGGAGAGAGAGCAACCTGTTCTTTTATAAGGCAGCTCTGAATGAATGTGGGTATGGGATGCTAAACAACTGTTGGGAGGGTGGTCCTCCATGGTCTCTTCCTTTGAGAGCTTCAGACCCACCTCCTTCACTCAATGAATTTTCTAATCTCCCAGTGTGGAACTGTGCAGAAGCGACAACGATGAAAACAGGGTTGCACTTACCTGTCAGTGTTGTTAACCAAGTGGTCTTCTGTGCAGGCACACATCCCTCCCTACTGCCTCACTGTGAACCCTCTGGAACTTTCGTTTCTTGGAGTCTCCGTGGTGGCATGAGAGAACTCAGGGACTAGCTTCCCCTCCTCTTGGTCATGTGATCGATTTGGCAGGAAAGTACAAGAGACAGGAGGGACATTCCTAATCTACTAGAAAGCATTGCCTTTTCTGCAGCTTTCCTGAGCATACATAGTCCCAATTTGTGCCTGCACAGAAGACCTCTCAGTGAACAACAGTTACAGTTAAGTGCAACCCTGTTTTACTGACATTCCTCATTCCAGTATTTCCTGTTTTTCATTCTAAACTAGAAATACAAGGAAAGGGAGAGAGTGGCCAAGAATTTGCGGTTGCTGTAAATGTGTTCCCTTTTACTTTGTTGAATTATTGATGTATGTTTATAGAAAAACAGTGAATGCTCCTCCAATTGATTGTAGAATAAAAATTCAAAAATATTAAGGTAAAGTAAAGATTGTATTGCAATAATCAGTACAATCATAAACAGAGATATCAGTTTATATAATTCTCAGCATGGTTCCATTGGTGGATACTTAAAAATCAAGAAATTGGAGCTATTAACAGACAAGGCAGATCTTCATACAAACCTGAGAAAAGCTCCAGTTTTGCAGAGAAATCTAAAAAAACAAAAAATACATTGGGAGTGTTAACTCCCCAATAATAAAAGCACAGTGCCTGCACTTTTTAGAAATCAGTACCTTCTGAGATCACAGTGGCTATTGTGGTGGTTGTTAGGAACTTACAGCAGTATTGCCAGCCTTCAAACCTTGGTTTCTGTCAGCAGAAGCCAGGGGAGTGGACCCTTTCCAGGGCTGTTTTGGCCTCCCAGTTCACCCCTACTCTCCTCCCTCCTAACCCCGAAGAGAGGACTCTATAGGCCAGGCCCAGCAGCAGCTACCAGGCAGCTTGCTACCATGCAATTTGTCCAGCTCATCCCAGTTTGATGGTGGCTATTGGATGCCGTAATGCCACAAAACTTTCCTGTTCCCACTTGCAGCCTCTGCACAACGTGCATAAGTTGTCCAGGCACAGCAGTAGCCATGATACAACTCAACTGAGTGACATGCTTTTTGTTGTTCAGTCGCACAGTCGAGTCCGACTCTTCGCGACCCCATGGACCAGATCCCGCCAGGCCTTCCTGTCTTCCGCCGTCCTCTGAAGTTTGCTCAATTTCATGTTCATTGCATCTATGCCACTGTCTAACCATCTCATCCTTTGCCGTCCCCGTCTTCTTTGACCTTCAATCTTTCCTAGCATCAAGGTCTTCTCCAGGGAGTGCTCCCTTCTCATTTGGTGGTCAAAGTATTTGAGCTTCAGTTTCATTATCTGGCCTTCCAGGGAACAGTCAGGGTTGATTTCTTTTAGGATTGACTGATTTGATCTTCTTGCAGTCCAAGGGACTCTCAAGAGTCTTCTCCAGCACCATAGTTCAAAAGAATCTATTCTTCGGCGCTCGGCCTTCCTTATAGTCCAACTCTCGCAGCCATACATGACTACTGGGAATACCATTGCTTTGACCATGCGGACTTTTGTTGGCAGGGTGATGTCTCTACTTTTTATCATGCTACCTCACAACTTTTGAAACTTGGGCAGACTTTTTCCAGGGAGAGGCTGCCAAGGGAAAGGGAGAAGCGAAAGCTGAGAGGCAGTGTGGTGTAGTGGTTAGAGTGTTTGGGAGACCCAGAGTCAACCTGCCCCCCCCCCATCTGCCATGGAAGCTTGCTGGGTATACCTGGGGCCAGTTTCTCTCTGTCAGCCTAATTTACCTCAAAGGATTATTATGAGAATAAAATGGAGCAGAGAAGAATGGTGAAAGCTGCTTTGGGTTCCCATATGCTAGGGTAGGGTATAAATGAAGTAAATAAATAGTAATAAATAAAGCTGAAGATGTGGGAGGGGGGCTGATAAAAGAGAGATTGGTTGGTGAGTGTGAAGGAGAGAAGGA